CCATAGTCTACATCACATTCGCTGCGTTTCGACATTTGTGCATTACAGGTCTTGACGGTGTCTTGGTGGGTGAGGAATTCTGACCAGTTATTTAGTAGAAGGTGTCGATCATCATCATGCCTTAAGACGGAAATACTTAAGGTCTTAGTGGGGAAAGCTGCCGTTGGTTGATCGTTTAACTCAGGAAAGTACGTCTACGGATGCTGAACGCTAGGTAAGAATCAATGTGTTCTGTTCCTTCAATAAGGAATTGTCAGATTTCGATAAAGACAAATAAGACAGCTGTCATTACAGGACAGAAGCAATATCTATCTTGTCGTATGCCACTTGGATTCACGAGTGGACATCTTACATGCTGACGACTAGTGGTGTTCTCACTTCATAGGCTGGAGAATGAGCAGGTGTGTCACTACCTGCTCACATGAGATCAGAGAGAAAGTAACCACACGAAACATGGACAAGGATTTTAGGACCGATTGAATAGTCTGAACAACTGATTGACGGGACAAAACCTTAGATAGCTGTTGGCACACAACATGTAAAACGGTGAGATGAAACTCTTGGCGCGAAAGATCACTGCAGCCCCGAATCCGGAGAAAAATCGACCACAACACTCGGAGATAGCAAAATGCTTTGCTCAGTTTGGGAAAGACTTCAATGCCATTGCAGCTCTACCGTTCAGAATACTTCTAGACGAGTCACAGCACAGTCAGTCAGGAGAGCTGCGTAAGATACTTGATTGCCTTAAGCAGCAAATCTATCAGCATATGACACTGGGACTGTCTGTACCTGAGGAACAGTTCATGACGTGTAGAAGTGTGAGTGACTATGGAATATGTGCAGTACTAAGATAGACCAAAGGGATACTGGTTGTGTTTCAAAAATTACAGAGTTGAGGTGTTCAATGGTCGAGAAAGTTTAGCAGTAGTGTGGCTGTTGGATAGATGAAGACATTATCTACTCAGCCAACAGTTCCGTATCGGATCACAAGCCCTTACAGTGTCTGAATACATCTCCAGACCCATGTGCAATTGTCCTGGTGGATATTGCACCTACAAGTGTCTGAGCTTAAGATGCTCCACTTTCCACGGAAAGAGAATTGGTTGGAGGACTGTGTTTCGGCAACAAGACTAAACCGAGCAGCCTGAGATTTTACGCGCCCAACAGGTGTTATCGAAAGACCCATTAAGATTCTATGGGCTCTCAGAACTTGGATCCAGCCATAAATTCAGTTATGCCGGATGTCCCTAACAAAATACCTGTAAGTTGACCTGAAGAGAATGAGGACATAAACACGAAACACGAGCGGAGGTTTCGATTACAGGGGAACACTCACGGAGCCTTGACTTATTGGGAAAATGATGGAAGCGTGTTGACGATTATACCTTAGTGCTCACGCCATGAGATAAGAAAGGAATATCACCAGCCAGCACATGTAAATTTGACTAGAATAATCAAACTGTTGGTACGAAGGAAGTGCTGGAGTGGTGTGGGGAGAGATATCACGAAATGTGTGCTCATCTGTCCACAGTCTTTGTCAGTGACAGAGGATCGGTGCATTCAACCATGTCTGACGTTGACTGCAGTTACAGGAGTGGATGATTTGTGCTTCGTAAAGGTAAGAGGATCTGATGGCAGTCATTGCCTGCTGATAAAGACGACAGATGTCACACTACGAGTAGACGCCAATGTGATCTGGAATCAAAGAGGAAAGACTTCGATTGAGACAGTCATTCAATATCCCGTCGCTGACCACGGTGTATGAAAGTGGTACTGGCAGATCGCTATCTTTGTTTTGAAGGTGAATAATTTATATCTCACTTGCACCAACCATAGATTTGGAGGATTAGGTCAACAGCTTTTCATACAGTCGCCGTCCTGACACGGTGGGAATAACTTACCATATCGGTACATCATGATTCAATCCATTGTGTAATAATGGCGTCACACCTTCACTTGATGTATGGTGAGAAACCACGAATAATTGTACACATACTGACCTGGCCATATCATCAAAAGAGTATCACGACGTAAGACGATATCAAAACAGCACTCAATTAGCACGACATCACGGTTTTATCCGAAACGTGAGACACACTGCAAAGCAACCTTGTCCATATAAAAGACCGAATCCCCAAGGCTTCTCTATCTGTGTTTACAAACTAAAATGCTTGGAATGTGATGCGATACACATCGGTAAATCATCGCAATAAATCAGGGTAATCAGAAGAAATAAACACCACAGTGATTCTGTTTGAACACTGGGAAATCCAGCTGAACCAGAAAAGCTTGAAAAATAATCAGCCATAGGTCTACACACTATGGAATCAGATCATAAAATTGATTTTGACAATACCGAAATAATCCAGAAGAATTTCAGAAATCACAAAGAACGTCTAATATCGGAAGCACTTCATATCAAATGGAAATCAAATTGTCTGAATGGGAACAATGGACTAAAACGGAGTTTGACCTGGTTACAACACCCTCCTCCCCTATGAAATGACAAGATGAACGCGAATGTGATAAGCGATTTCGTTATGTAAGCGCAGGTTGATTTGATAATTTTAGACACTTATCAAACACTTATCAACAATCTACACCTGGTTTTGTTGTCTTTACCAATTTGCCAACTTGACAACGCGAAAATGACTCCATGCTGAGGGAAGATGATTTAGTTGTTATATATACACTGAGATTCTGTAAATTCTGGTTTGATAATATCTTGATAAAGCCTTTATCATTAAATGGCGAAACATCAGAAGAATCAATATCGTTTTGTTTTCCATTCATTGAAATATACAGAAAACCATAGAAGTGTAATCATATGTTCCTGTTTATGCAGGAACATACCAATTGTACAGGCATGGATAAGTTATTATATTAATTACACACGTTTCGATGTATGTTGAATATATCCACTATCCAGATTTTTTCAAGCTTAAAAGTGAACTTGGTTGGGACATACAGAGCATTACGAAGATACATAAAAAAGAACGGAAATAAATGAACAGAAGCGACACTCATTAATCGAAGACTCTCAGTAAAAGATTCATTCTGAATGAAGAGAAGCATAACATTTGAAGTCGTAGATCACATAACTTGTAAATATAGTAAGTGGGCTATTGGAAGTGGGACAGGTTCGCAAAAGCTGCTTTCAGAGTGATCTGGGAAACGACTTCAAGCTCGCTTCCAGTTGGCTTCGAATAGATATAATGCCTGTGATTGACGTGTGGCCGTCTTTCCTGCTATACATTTGCTCTTGCCTCCCTACCAGTCGACACTTAAACTCGGCCCACTAAACCTGATGGCCAGGCTGTTTCGAACACCGTCCTGACTGGCGAAGGAGAATGAAACACCTACGACTTCCCTAAGATATATCTGTTGACGGTTATTTGAAGAGAGTGTGTAGAGACACAAGCACACCACAATGAAGCTGACTTATTCTTGTCCACTGAGAATACAAATAAAATTGATGGTTGAATAGATTAAAGGGATTTACGCGAAAATAATATCGTTATTCAGACAAAGTCATATCCGATATAATTATACGATATATTCTGTTTTATAAGTTTGCAAGTGTCTTGAATCGTGGTTGTATTAATAGAAGTGGATAATGTGAGAATGACGCCACCTTTACTCAACTACACGCATGCAGTGTCACTGATTGTCACTCACATGTGACATCAATCCGAACTGGAATATTGAAAGAGCAGTAATTTGTTAATGGTCTGCCGAATCAAAATATTAAGAAAGGAGTTATTTACTGGATGATCTTCCTATTTAGCTCCTTCATCGTCACATTGATTGTAATTATGATAATATATTCTCATATTTTGTACATGAGGGACGCCAGTTTACATGCATCATCAATATGGTAAATTACATATACGATTAGTAAACACATTTAATAATGATATAGTAAAATCCATATTTATTCCTACCCATGTAGGACACACCAATTTTACAGGCATGAATAAGTATTATTTAAATTACATAGACTTGGTTTATGGTGAAATTACATGGTTGTTGTCTGTTTTTGTCTTTGGTTTGTGGGAACAATCTGTTAACTGGTCATTCAATGGAGCACATCAAGAAATATAGAAATATTGTCTTCGCACTAATGAAAGAAACCCAAGTATGTTTTGGATGGATTACAAATACTTGTAAAAAATATGGCTTGAAGTCAATCTCATCGACCGACAAATTGTCAAATGATCTAAGACAGAAGGTAAACTACGAAGATGGTGTTTCGATACATTCTACAAACCTGAAATTGTCGTCTGAGAAAATGACTCAATTTGGTTTAGAACAATCAAGCGTATTCAAAACAGAAATCATCATACATCAACTAAGCAGCTAAGCACTCAATGACAGATATTTCCCCGGGAACTGGTGAAAATGGATTCAGATAAAGAATCATTCACTTTTCTTCTTAATCATAGAGATAACAACGGCCACTTTCAGCCACTAACAGAACAAAAATTAATTCTTGACGAATTCAAAGTAAGTTATTACTCTAATTTCAATCATTCTAAAGATGATAGCTGTATTCAGGCGCAATTTTAAATACCTATTAAATGTCAGTAAATAAGTAACGTGCACTACCTTAAGACTGATTTGATCATAGACCAACAGGAGTAGAGGAACTAACTACTGAGGACCAAGGCACACTGAATACCTGTTTCCTCTAAGTTTAGGGCTTTTCAGTATTGTGCACCCGTCAATCCACGAGGGTATTCAGGCTGAGATTATCACCTTATTACTCAGAAGCTGGATAGGGGACTACATAACCAAGATGTTTTCAGTGCTCATCAATATGAGTACTGAGTGCACTGACATATCATGTCTTATTTCCATGATTGTTTATTGTGACACTATTAAAACGCGCGAGCACCTAGTGTTAATACTAGCAATCAAACGCATTCCTGGAGTTTCATACTCCGAATAAATTTAGATGCATACTTAGACAATGACCATAAGGGTGAATGCATTCAGGTTTATTCACGTACACTTACCACATTGCTTTTAAATTTATCAGCACAAAGTATATCAACAATTCGTTTAAATAAAATGTCCACAACTTCAATATTTTGGCTACAAATAGCCGTTAGGAGTGCCGTCTTTCCATCCAAATCCTTCAACTACGGGAAACAAAAGAAGCCATCTTCAAATCGACTAACAAATACAAAAATGGCACACTGCCAAACTTCTTTACCACTTCCGCTATTTCGGCAAAATTTCCATTTCAAAAATCAAATTCTTTATTTAGTAAAACACACTAACTTATAGAAAATCAACCAAGTTTTCCTATCTCCTGCATATCTATGCAGTAACTGTTCGCATCTGTAAGATGCATTTTGTCACTGGAACGAGCAGTGTACTTAAAATTTTGATTGTTTCCATAACAATTCAATATTTTGTGTTACACTTACGATATACCCAATCAAAAAAAAAAATAAGTTTTCTTCATTTTAAACAAGGGTAGATAAACTTGACCATAAAACACCTTTATTCGGGAAAATCTTTCAGATGTAACTGTATTGGCATTGTTGTTTAAGTCATTATTTTTACAGCTAAGTACATTCCACTGAAAGATGCTATTCAATGCAGTCACTGGCATATTTAAAGTTTCTATTTCCACTAATTTTGTGTTTTTATGTTGTTTTTTTATGGGAGCCATCACCTTATACAAGGCGACAATACCTAACAATGCGGGTTTCAAAAATTCACCTATTTTATAATTGAATCAAGTGTTTAAAAATTACACACTTCAAAGATACATGTTGTCCTGAGTTTCTGTGGAAACAGAAAGTGGATCAGAACACAACATACTGTGGTCTAACCAACACCATAGGTACCACCAACAGCACAGACAGGCGATCAGCTTGTTAAATACTATCGATTTTTATTAACAGTTGGTAGTCACTAGCTGTCATCAACTTCAAACAACTGAAAAACACTGTGTGGGATTCCACTCATTCAGTACCCGGTCTATCCAAAGAAGTTGTGAATTTATTCAAAAAGCTGACTCCTCCAAGCTATATGTATTTACGTAAACCACTTGAGAGTAATGAAGACACATGTAAGAAATTCTGTTTGAATATTAAACAGTTTGATATAATGTCTCATTTTAATTTCCTAATATTCTCAGGAAATGGCGATAATGTGTTTACAACACCTAGGTCTAGGTATCAAGGGCTACAGCTCTATGTGAGTGGCCTCCTGCTACTCATATCAGTCAGTATCATGAAACTATACAGCTTTGCCTTTCTGAAAAATAAATGTCTTCTCAACAGTTCACAAAAGAAAACTCCCTACTTCTCTTCTTGTTTGTCCACGAAAGCTTCAATAATTTCTACTCATTTTTTTCTCCGTATGCACTTCTTAATTATAACATATCGAAATGGTGTAATTCTGTGTGAAGTTTTACTTCATTAGAGTTATCTATCGGACCTTCATTGTTTGATTCCGAAGTGAAGTGGAAGTCTTTCTTCCTGCACTTTGCTTTAGTAGTCATGATGTCAATCTTCCACTTGGGAAAATTACCCTAAGCCACACCTTTATCCTGGGGAATTACAGAATATTACCTCACATTTAAAGCAGATATCTCAAGCAAAAGTACCTGAAAAAGACAGTTTTCTGAATATGAAATGCTTCTTGTGACCGTAAAACATCTCTTTCTAGAATTCTGAAAGTTCTATTTCCGGTTGAGGTGTGAACTACTGAATATTCTCAAACTAGGAAGTAACAGCTGTCTAATGCTTTCTGGTTTTCGAAGATTCTTACTTTCTGACAAAATCTTCATTGAAACCACGGAAAGTAATAGATGCTTTAAATGAACTCACCTCTGCATTTGCATTGTTTTCAATAAGTTGAAGTGTCGCCTCAGTATTGCCTCTTAAAGCTGTATAGTGCAGAGCAGTACGTCCAGTCTTATCCTTTTTATTTACCTTTACACCCATTTGAATAAGATGATCGATAATCTGGCTACTATCCACGCTACTTTCACTCCGTGACTCTGGTGAATCAGTGTATATTTGGCTATCTGTAGGTTTACTTTTTTCTTCGTTATTTTCAATGCTGGTAGATTCTGTTATTTCCATATCCATCTCTGGCTTAAAATAACACGACAATAAAAGGAACAAGCGCCGGATGAAACATCACAAATATCCCTTATATAGTTTTTATCTTACACAGTAAAACACCACTTCAAGGCTATGCGGACCAATTTTGTGAAATTACAGAGGTGGTAAACGGATTAATGCTAAACAGGTTGCAGTAACAGGCTTTAATTTTGTGAAACAATCATAGTGGTTACATCAAATCCAGCTAGAAATACGTTTGTGCAAAGTGAAATAAAATCACATTTGTCTGATGAACTAAACCGAATGATATTCTGAAATTTCTAGGTATAATAACCGCGTTTACATGACTGATAGTACTCATGATCTACTTTCTCTTCAAAGTCATCTATCTAACACCCAAAGAACTGCTAAACTTTCTCGACCATTGAACACCTCAACTCTGTAATTTTTGAAACACAACCAGTATTCCTTTGGTCTATCTTAGTACTGCACATATTCCATAGTCACTCACACTTCTACACGTCATGAACTGTTCCTCAGGTACAGACAGTCCCAGTGTCATATGCTGATAGATTTGCTGCTTAAGGCAATCAAGTATCTTACGCAGCTCTCCTGACTGACTGTGCTGTGACTCGTCTGGAAGTATTCTGAACGGTAGAGCTGTAATAGCATATAAACGAAAGCGTAGAAGGATCACGGTAATAGTTAAAAACACCAAGTACTAGTTCACAACTATTAGTGAGTATTAAGTTCTATTTTTAATTACTAGATCGTAGTCTCATCGACAATAAGAGATGATACACAGCCGTTCACATACCAACTACACGGCTAATATATTAGTACCGATGACTAAACGGACGGATCCGCTTAATAACTAATTAGATTGGATTGTGTCTAAAATTATCAAATCAACCTGCGCTTACATAACGAAATCGCTTATCACATTCGCGTTCATCTTGTCATTTCATAGGGGAGGAGGGTGTTGTAACCAGGTCAAACTCCGTTTTAGTCCATTGTTCCCATTCAGACAATTTGATTTCCATTTGATATGAAGTGCTTCCGATATTAGACGTTCTTTGTGATTTCTGAAATTCTTCTGGATTATTTCGGTATTGTCAAAATCAATTTTATGATCTGATTCCATAGTGTGTAGACCTATGGCTGATTATTTTTCAAGCTTTTCTGGTTCAGCTGGATTTCCCAGTGTTCAAACAGAATCACTGTGGTGTTTATTTCTTCTGATTACCCTGATTTATTGCGATGATTTACCGATGTGTATCGCATCACATTCCAAGCATTTTAGTTTGTAAACACAGATAGAGAAGCCTTGGGGATTCGGTCTTTTATATGGACAAGGTTGCTTTGCAGTGTGTCTCACGTTTCGGATAAAACCGTGATGTCGTGCTAATTGAGTGCTGTTTTGATATCGTCTTACGTCGTGATACTCTTTTGATGATATGGCCAGGTCAGTATGTGTACAATTATTCGTGGTTTCTCACCATACATCAAGTGAAGGTGTGACGCCATTATTACACAATGGATTGAATCATGATGTACCGATATGGTAAGTTATTCCCACCGTGTCAGGACGGCGACTGTATGAAAAGCTGTTGACCTAATCCTCCAAATCTATGGTTGGTGCAAGTGAGATATAAATTATTCACCTTCAAAACAAAGATAGCGATCTGCCAGTACCACTTTCATACACCGTGGTCAGCGACGGGATATTGAATGACTGTCTCAATCGAAGTCTTTCCTCTTTGATTCCAGATCACATTGGCGTCTACTCGTAGTGTGACATCTGTCGTCTTTATCAGCAGGCAATGACTGCCATCAGATCCTCTTACCTTTACGAAGCACAAATCATCCACTCCTGTAACTGCAGTCAACGTCAGACATGGTTGAATGCACCGATCCTCTGTCACTGACAAAGACTGTGGACAGATGAGCACACATTTCGTGATATCTCTCCCCACACCACTCCAGCACTTCCTTCGTACCAACAGTTTGATTATTCTAGTCAAATTTACATGTGCTGGCTGGTGATATTCCTTTCTTATCTCATGGCGTGAGCACTAAGGTATAATCGTCAACACGCTTCCATCATTTTCCCAATAAGTCAAGGCTCCGTGAGTGTTCCCCTGTAATCGAAACCTCCGCTCGTGTTTCGTGTTTATGTCCTCATTCTCTTCAGGTCAACTTATAGGTATTTTGTTAGGGACATCCGGCATAACTGAATTTATGGCTGGATCCAAGTTCTGAGAGCCCATAGAATCTTAATGGGTCTTTCGATAACACCTGTTGGGCGCGTAAAATCTCAGGCTGCTCGGTTTAGTCTTGTTGCCGAAACACAGTCCTCCAACCAATTCTCTTTCCGTGGAAAGTGGAGCATCTTAAGCTCAGACACTTGTAGGTGCAATATCCACCAGGACAATTGCACATGGGTCTGGAGATGTATTCAGACACTGTAAGGGCTTGTGATCCGATACGGAACTGTTGGCTGAGTAGATAATGTCTTCATCTACCCAACAGCCAAACTACTGCTAAACTTTCTCGACCATTGAACACCTCAACTCTGTAATTTTTGAAACACAACCAGTATCCCTTTGGTCTATCTTAGTACTGCACATATTCCATAGTCACTCACACTTCTACACGTCATGAACTGTTCCTCAGGTACAGACAGTCCCAGTGTCATATGCTGATAGATTTGCTGCTTAAGGCAATCAAGTATCTTACGCAGCTCTCCTGACTGACTGTGCTGTGACTCGTCTGGAAGTATTCTGAACGGTAGAGCTGCAATGGCATTGAAGTCTTTCCCAAACTGAGCAAAGCATTTTGCTATCTCCGAGTGTTGTGGTCGATTTTTCTCCGGATTCGGGGCTGCAGTGATCTTTCGCGCCAAGAGTTTCATCTCACCGTTTTACATGTTGTGTGCCAACAGCTATCTAAGGTTTTGTCCCGTCAATCAGTTGTTCAGACTATTCAATCGGTCCTAAAATCCTTGTCCATGTTCCGTGTGGTTACTTTCTCTCTGATCTCATGTGAGTAGGTAGTGACACACCTACTCATTCTCCAGCCTATGAAGTGAGAACACCACTAGTCGTCAGCATGTAAGATGTCCACTCGTGAACCCAAGTGGCATACGACAAGATAGATATTGCTTCTGTCCTGTAATGACAGCTGCCTTATTTGTCTTTATCGAAATCTGACAATTCCTTATGAAGGAACAGAACACATTGATTCTTACCTAGCGTTCAGCATCCGTAGACGTACTTTCCTGAGTTAAACGATCAACCAACGGCAGCTTTCCCCACTAAGACCTTAAGTATTTCCGTCTTAAGGCATGATGATGATCGACACCTTCTACTAAATAACTGGTCAGAATTCCTCACCCACCAAGACACCGTCAAGACCTGTAATGCACAAATGTCGAAACGCAGCGAATGTGATGTAGACTATGGCACCGATGAACAGTGAAAGCTTATATTAAAAAATACAGACCTACCTCAACAATGCGCCCTCACCGGCAATACACTCCAGAAACTCTCCAGGTACGAAATACGCACTACATGTCAAGAATAATTAACCAAGCACAACAGTTAAGTACTCAGGAATCATTGATAATCTTCCCAACAAGATGGGATCTGAACTCTGTCTCCAACAGTCGAATGAAACGAAATACGTTACCCTCAGTCATCCTAAGGTCAGGTGGCCATCCCATGGCCTACGCCTGATTTCATTGGCCCAAAACTGCAGCCAAAAAACAGCGCGCTATTATCAACACCATCATACAACATAAAAGGGAAGGATCAAAATTATGAATCAGCCAGAATCCACGACAAATAATAGGAATTAAACCAACGGAAATCATACGAATTCTAGAACGATGATAAATACGTGATGGAAAAGAGTTTCGGTCGTGAAATTGGTTGAAATGCTCGGAATAAGCACCATGGAGGATTTTCATATAAGCTGTCCTGGTACAATTGATGAAGTTGAGTTTGCGTCACACATGTTTCTTTACTTATCGAGTGAGTACTAAATGAAATGATGAGTCATAATACTCGTTTTGATTTTATTATTCATGCATCACGATCATCGCCCTCTATTATTCACTAACACATGAGGACTTTAAATGCATCAAATGTTTTGTATTAGGACATAGCCTGTGAAAACAAATTGTGTGCGTGAACGTTGGTTCTCAGGTTGGTGAGTGCTCTCCATTGCTAACTGTCTTCACTTCAGGGTTTGTAAGTTTACTAAATGTCTGCCTTTAAGAATTGATGCCCGTATTGTGACGTATCACACTTTAGTACGCATTTTCATGCTTTTCATAGCCAGATTCAATGGACTCGTATAACCGCAGTATTCCATCTTCGTCATCTGAAGATTCAGACGAGCCGGAAGACGACGTCCCGCCGATTTCCGCGGAAGAGTTTTTAACAATGTGCAGGTCGCTCTCAGTGGATGCGCTTATGTTACTCCTGGACGAAATGCGTCGACTCTGTCCGTTTCTACCACCTATCCGGTGGACATCGAGAAGAAATATGCTCGATGAAAAGTTTGAAGATGTCGAGCCCAGAACAAGGTAATGTGAAAACGTTCATTAAACTAGTTCAATCTAAGAATGTGATATGTTTTTCTTTTAGGCCGTTTTCTTTAACGAGAAAGAGATATAGTTTTCTCTTCGTTAACCTTTGTTAGTTCAGAGACAATGTTAACGAATTATTCAACTTTCCTAAATACATGTTTTTTAAATGTCACTTGCTTTTGATTTCAAGAAGTCGTTTAGTTGGGAGGAGAATGGTGCGTACTGGATGGGATGTCTGAACTCTCGTTAATATGTATTAGGATGCACTTCGGGGATTTTAGAAGCTTCGGGCAAGTAATTCATCCACCCTCATGTACACACAACGAGTTTTGATGTTTATTTCTCCTAATGTCTCGGCAATGCACCCGATGTTGTAGGTATCTGTTCTATTATCTCAGACATGATATGTGTCGTAGATAGAGCAGATAAGTTTGTG